TAATGATAATAATAATAATACTTTTTTTTCTTAATGAGCTGCCAATGTGGACCTCTTTCAATTTCAATACAACCTCGTGTGATTTTTTTCCGTCCTTGAAATTCCCAACAGTCTCCTAAGAAACCAAATTTTAATTTCTGTTGCTTCTATTTTATTGTCAATGTCTTTGGTGATTGTCCAGAATTCACGACCATATAGAAGGGCTACCCGCACATAATAAAGAAAATACACTATAACACGGACAGGTGGAACACAGAAGACTCGAAATCACGCATACGTCGAACTGTGCCTGTGGTCCCTTTTTTTTCTTCTTCTTTGTTGTATCTTTGTAAGATATCCCTGGAACTACGGATCCCTCGAACTACCGAGGCCGGTCCTGACGAATTCGAGCTATCCGTCTTATACTGTATAGCCTTTTAAAATTCTTTTTTTTTTGTGTGTGTGTGTGTGTGTGTGTGTGTATGTGTGTGTTATTGTTGACATTGAGATGTTTTTACTTTTCAAGACTGAGCTGGACACATTTTTTATTGAAATGCCTTTAGCTATTGCAATTCTTTTTTTATGTAGCTGTTCTTTTTTACGCCCCCATCATCACAATTTAGATCATTTAGAATGAGGGCTTCTGCCCCTGCCTGTCAGGACCAACCTGGGCTGAGAGGGATACACATCCCAGCACAAAGACCTAGATACTCTATACTAATGTTCCTCCTCACTTGAGGATTGAACTGGGGTCTCCTGCATGCGACAGCTAAGCGCTTAACTGCTACACCACATACCCCGGTTCGATTCTTCTTTTTATTTCAGTACATGTATATGTTGGTAAATGTAATGATAAGTGCTACATATTTAAAACTATTTAAACTTTATTCCCTTGGTTATGAAATTACAATTAATTGGGTTCACTGACTTTTAAGACATTACATGTATTAACATACATTATTATACTGTCTTTACATTAACAATGACATCATTGACCCTTTGACGTCAGCTTACCGGCATTATTTGTGTAGAATCATTTTGAAGGTCGGATTTTCGTTGTTGTTTTTAATCTGCATTTATATAGGTTTCAGATACAAGTTTCGTTGCTATAGTATAGTCAGGTTTACTTTTAAAAAAATTCTACATACTCAGTGGTATGCTATGATGTTGGTGAATAAACTTGAATTATTTCTATGCCATAACTTTTCTCTACTAATGTAGTTACGATAACTCTATCTGACACTCCACACACACACACA